AAAACAGTCCATTCCCCCAACATATAAGCTTTAAAAAATTAAAGTGGGTAGAATTGATTGAAATTAACTTCACTCCCTGTTTTATATGTACAATGCATTAAATTACTAATTCCAAAGAGAACAGAACAAAAATACACATTTAAAAATTTTATATTAAAAAAGAAACTGGAATACTGTGGCATGTATTTAAAACAATAAAAAGATTACTTTAGAACTAAAAATTTAAGAAGGGATGGGAAAGGAGGAAGGAAAATACAAATCACTTGGAGGAAGTAGGATAAGTGATGTTACAATGATAGGAATGCAATCATTGAAATGAAACAAAGTATATGATTTATTGAATATAAAACTGTTGATCTGCTCTGTAAACCTTTACTCAATTTACAAAACAAAGCAGTACTGGTCAGCCAGAAACATCTATTTATTATTCATTCATTCGTTAATATTTAATATTGTTGTTGTTATGTGCCGTGGAGTCAGTTCTGACTTATAGCGACCCTGTACAGGGTTTCCAAGGCTGTAAATCTTTACAGGAGCAGAAAGCCTCATCTTTCTCCCCGAAACAGCTGGTAGTTTCGAACTGCTGACCTTGTGGTTCACAGTCCAATGTGTAACCACTACGCTACCAGAGCTCCTTTAATATTTAATACAGAAATCTAAAAATCTACAATTCACAAATATCACCTATGTACTATTGTTGCCAAAAGTGATTAATCTAATTAATCGCAGGGAAACAATCATACAATAAATTGAGGGATAATCTTTAATAAAACAATTGGCCTGTTCTCTATAAAAAGTTAGTTATTGAAGACTCCCTTTCTACACTTAAAAAGTAGGAAAATGTTTTGATTAAAGGAGACTTTAAACAGACAAGTTGATATACTAAATGATCCTTTATTAGACCCTGGATTCAAAAAAACAAACAAAAATTCCACCCTAAAGAAAACTATTAACACAACTGGGAAATTTTGAATATGGGCTGAATTAGGAGATACATCCTGAAGCATTAGCTATAAAGTACTAGATGAGGAGGCGTCAAAAAGTTTGTGAAAAATTCCATTATCCTTTAGTTCCGTATTTCCATGAACTCTTTTTGAAGCACACACATATGTGGCAAAAAACATGTATACACATACACACAGGAAGCAAATATAAAATGTTAATAACTAATGAAGATCTAAGTGTTTAATGAATCATTCTTGCAACTTTAGTGAAGTACTCTTGCTCATATGCAGCATTTGTAGAGCTCATGGATGTAAGCATGTATTATTCTAAATAATAGACTATTTAAATACACAGATTTTTAGTGGTTTCCACCAATGTCTTTTAAAAAATAAATAACATGTTTGTTGGCAGAGTCAAATTTCTTAGTAAGGCACAATTTCTCATTGGGAATCACAAATCGGATATTCTTGTTGTTGCTGTTAAGTGCCACAGAGTTGGTACCAATTCAAGATTTCAAGGCTGTAAATCGCTGTAAGCAGAAAACCTTGTCTTCCTTCCATGGAATGGCTGGTGGCTCAAATCACTGACCTTGCAGTGCTGAGTCTACGGTTTATCCTACAGACCCACGGTGCTTCTTCAAATTGGGTATAGTACAATAATATTGCTGAACTGCATTCTGGGAATATATAGTCAACATTAAGCTATTAATTAAAAAAAAAAAAAAACTTTCAGTTGGCTCTGATCATTTTCTTATTTGCTTTCAATAACTTCAAAGGCCTATCTTTATACATAGATCAATGGAACAGAATTGAGAATCTAAAAATTAACCCATCCATGTACAGCCAACTGATCTTTGACAGAGGCCCAAAGCACATTTAATGGGGAAGAGATAGTTTCTTCAACAGATGGCGCTGACAGAACTGGAAATCAATATATAAAAGATTGAAACAAGACCTTTACCTCACACCATATACAAAACCCAACTCAGCATGGATTAAAGACCTAAATGTGAATCCCAGAATTATAAAGGTCATTAATGAAAATATAGAGACAAATTTAAGGGCCCTAATATAAGGCACAGACAGACTACCAAACATTGTGAAAATTACACAAACAAAAGACAAAGTAGATGACTAGGACATACTAAAATTTAGAAACTTATGTGCATCAAAAGATTTCACCAAAAAAGCAAAAAGGGAGCACAAAGGATGGGAAAAAAATCTTTTGCAATGACATAGCAGAATTTCTAAAATCTATTGAAAATTACAACACCTCTATAAGAAAAGAAAAATAAGCCAATTAAAAAATGGGCACAGGACATGAACAGACACTTCACCAAGGAAGACAATCAGGCACCCAACAAACATATGAAGAAATGTTCACCAACAACAGCCATTATTGTTGTTGTCAAGGGCCACTGAGTAGATCCTGACCCAAAGCGACCCTGTACAGGGTTTCTGAGGAGCGGCTGGTGAGCATGCACCGCTGACCTTGTAGTGTAAATTTGATTTTGAAGTCTGGTGCATTAACCCACAGCGCCACACCAGGACTCCTCATAGCCATTGGAGAGATGCAAATCAAAACAACAATGAGATATTATCTCACACCAGCAATAACAGTGAAGTTCAAAAAAGCAGAGGTCAATAAATGCTGGTGAGTATATGGAGAGACTGGGAGCTTCCTACACTGCTGGTGGGAATGCAAAATGGTCCAACCACTCTGGAAAACAGTACGGCGCTTCCTCATAAAGTTGTTAATAGAAATACCTTATGATCCAGCAATTCCTCTACTTGATATATATCCACAAGAAACATGAACCATAACACGAGCAGATGTATGAAAACCTATGTTCACATCAGCACTATTCACAATAGCAAAAAGATGGAGACAGCCTAAGTGCCCTTCAATGGAAGAATGGATAAACAAACTTTGGAACATACACACAAAGGAATATTATGCTACCTTGAAGAATAACAAGGAAGCTGCAAGGTACCACATAACATGGAAGAACCTCAAGGAAATAATGCAGAGTGAAATTAGTCAGTCACAAAAGGACAAATATTGCATCAGATCATTATTATAAAAGCTTGAGAAAAGATACCCATACTAAAAGGGGAAAAAAAATTCTTAGTTGGTTACCAGTGGGGTGGGTGGGGGTTGAGGATGTGGAGGGAGGGGATTGTAGAACACAGGGTAGGGGGTAAACACATCATAGTTTGGGTGTTGGGGAGGGCAACACAAAAGAAGGGGAAGGGAGGTGGAAAAGCAAGGTAGATAGGGGAACACTTAGGCAGGTTTGCACAGGCTAAAATGGACAGAGGTAAATCGTGGGCTCTGTGATACTGGAATCAAGGCATAGTCTAAAGTGGGGAAATAATGTTAAGATGCTTGACTGTCATGCATATTGGTTTCCCTATTGTAAAATAGACACTTCAGTGGGGTAGAAAGGAATGTTGGGAAACATTATAGAACGCTTATGAGCCCTTCTTCAGCCTATAACTGATTGGAATACCTTAAAGGGGTTTTAGACCTTGCCCAATGAAATAGGCTCCTTGTGGAGCTTTTACAGTGTATAAGACCTTAGGTGGAACCCTAAGCCCCATCCAGAATCTTCTGAGGTGGGACATTCCCACTAGAAAGGACAAGCAGATCAGCCTGGAACAGCTAGAGCAACAGAAAACACATCTTCAAAGACAGATCAGCAGGAAAACTCCACAACAAAAATGAGTCTGACTGGCCACTATAAGAACAAGCAAGTTGTTTGTCAGGGAGCCATCAAAGCAAGTAATCAAGTCCCTTCAGAACAAACCCCCTTCTTCCAAAACTGAAATTCAAAGGGAAGACATTAGCAGGCACGTAAGCTTGCTGGTGACATTAGCCTATTGGTGAGTGGAAGAGGGAGAAAGGCAGCAATGAAGAAATGAGCTGAGTTCATCCACGTTCCATAGACTCCCACTGACCTTGAGATGAGAGAGAGAAGAGAAAGGGCTGGTTGGTCCAGAGTGTGGTGAGAACTGGGGACTCTTTAGCCCATGGACAAGGACATACAGCTGACAGTGAAGCATCCAGCTAATATGAAGTGAGGGGAGATGCACAAGAATGCCCAATTTGCAGACAGTACCCATTTGACCTAGCCTTGATGGCTTGATAATTAGAACTTGACTAGTGGAAGGAAAAATACAAAACAAATCAATTTTTGATATAGGAAATGAGTGTAAATTGCTACAATTTGACGAACTTGATCTATACTTATGGATGTACTAGCTCAAAATAACAACTGAGAGGGAAGGAGTCTTCAAGTATCAATCCTATCCCCTCCGTACAAAGGGTTAATAGGGATGGCAACTTAAGCACTGGCTATCTAAAATGGGAGGGGCTATAAAGGCATGAAGTGACTGGCTTAAAAATTTTCAAGAGGGAGTTTAATTTCAGATTGTGTGGGGGAAGGTAGAATCTCCACTGCATAGTTTTCATCTCATCAAGACAAGACGGGTCTGGTGAAAGGAGATGGGGAAAGATTCTTATAATTCAATAGTAATTGCTACCATGACTAATTGAAAGGTAGAAGTTTTATAACAAAAAGAGGACCCTAGGACCATCAAGGGAGAAGAGCACGAATGGGATGTGGGACCCTATCCAGAGAAGCAGTGACACCAGAGATGGAGACAGAGATGAGGGCAGAGAGAGAGAGAACAGCTGAGGACTCTAGACTCATGGAAAGAGAAAGGCTGTGTGCTGGCAGCCAGAAGGCAGGCTTGCAGAATGTGTTCTTTGGTGTTTAAATGATTATATATTAGTGAGTGATTTTGTGTACATCCCCAACCCCCGCAAAAAAACTGAGGGAATAGAAGCAAATACTGTTGAATGACGATGCAGAGAGATTGCAATCATTGCAATGAAATGACGAATGTAAAACTGTTGTTCCCCCACGTAAACTGTCACTCAATTCACACACAAAAAAAGTGTGTGTGTGTGTGGGGGGGAGTAAGCCTATCTTTAGTTGAGGAGAAAAACTAGCTTTAGTCAAAACACAAAGTAATCTTTATATGACTTACCCATTATGCTTTTATGAAATTCTACCTCACTTCCACAGGAACTTTAGCAGCTTCCTAAAAACAACAAAACAATGTTAGAACGATGCTGCTACAGACATGTTTCCACCATTGTTATTAATGTGTACTTGGTGTCATAAGGAACTACCTCCCCCTCCTTGCTATGCAACAGTACATCACACCAGTACAGTAAAAGCACATTTCTACTTATCAGCTGAAGAATTACAAAATGCTTTGTGAGACTGACCAACCGGGGCTTTGAACTGGAGGAAGATTACTTAAAATAAAGCATGTAAATCTTCTGTAGCATATTTAATCAGACATGCAGTAAAAACAGAGGGTAGAGACTAGAAGGGGAGTAAGGGGTTTCTGTTGTAATGTGCCATAGAATTAGTTCCGACCCATAGTGACCCTGTATAGGGTTTCTGAGGAGTGGCTGGTGTTCTTGAACTGCCGACCTTGAGGTTCAAACAGACCTTGCAGTCCAGTGCACTAACCCACAGCACCACAACACCAGGACTCCAACAGAGGCTGATAATGTTCTACTAGTTGACCTAGGAGACAATTACATACATACTTTCACTTTGGGATAATTCAAAGCTTTGTATACTTATGATCTGTATACTTCTCTGTACATCTGTATGTACAAAAGTTTTAAAAAATTCTTTGCATCCCAAGACACCATACTATAATTTTAAACTACCTTTAAGACAATTCAGTACTGTGTTGAGCTAGTCAGATATAAATTCAAATTACCATTCTTCTATTTATTAGTTCCAAATGGCTAAAACAAAACAGGTATTCAGTAACTTGGCAGTTGCTTACTATCCCCATGGTCTTTCATTTGGGAATCAAAGAAAAATAAAACTACAGAAGCTGAGAAACTTATGGCTTTGACAAACAGCTTATTTTGCTTCCCTTCCTTAGATCTGTTCCCACTCCCATTAGTTGCTGTTGTTAAGTGCCGCCAAGTTCGTTATGACCCACAGAGACCATGTATAGGGTTTCCAAGGAGTGGCTGGTGAGCTTGAACCACCGACTATGCTGTTCAAATCGACTTTGCAGTTCAGTGCATTAACTTACAGCACCACATCAGGACTCCCATTAAAACTTGCTGCAATAGATGGGGTTGCAGTGAGGAGGAGGAGGTGGTAAAGCATGTGACAAGATTAACAAGTCAGATACAACCACTGTGGAAAATGAAATGGTGCTTTCTCAAAAGACTAGAAATAGAACCACATTCTTGTTATTGTTAGGTGCCGTTGAGTTGGTTCCTACTTACAGCAAACCTGTACAGGATTTTCAGAGTGGCTGGTGGGTTTGAAAAGCTGACCTTTTCAGTAAGCACTCCAGTACTGCTTATCCTACAGCACCACACCAGGACTCCTGAAATACTGTACTAAATAGTGTATCCAGCACTAAAGACACAATCAGACACATGCATACCCATTTTCATGCAGAAACGACAGAAATCACCTAAGTACCCCATCAATGAATGAATGGATAAACAAAATGTGATACAGACAAAAACAATGCAATACCATGCTGCTATCAAAATTATATAATCTCAAAATACATCATAACATGGATGGATCTGATCTGGAGGACATTATGCTGAGTGACATAAGTCAATCACAAAAGAGGAAAAGACTGTATGACCTCACTATTATGAAAAGACCTTAATAAATTTGTATATAGAAACCAACGGTTACCAGGAATAGGTGGGTGGGTGGGTAGGTGGATGGACGGGAGTATTGCTCTCTTGGCAGTTTGCTGCTGTTTGTTGCCATCAAGTCAGCTCTGACTCACAGAGACCCTATACACAACAGAACTAAACACTACTATGTCCTGCACCATCCTCACAATTGTTGTTAATCTTGAGCACATTGCTACTGCCACAGTGCAAATTCATCTTGTTGAAGTCTTGCTCTTTTCACTGACCCTTCATTTTACCAGGAATGATGTCCTTCTCCAGTGACTGATCCCTCTTGATAACATGCCCGAAGTATGAGAAACAAAGTCTTGCTAACCTGGTTTCTAAGGAGCATCTGGCTGTACCTCTTCCAACACAGGTTTGTTGGTTCTTCTGGAAGTCTATGGTACTTTCAATATTGTTCTCCAATATCATATCTCAAATGCATTAATTCTACTACGGTCTTCCTTACTAACTGTCCAACTTTCACATGCATATTGAGGCTACTGAAAATATCATGGCTTGGATCAGGCGCACGTTAGTCCTCAAACTGATATCTTCACTCTTGAACACTTAAAGGGATCTGATTTGTCCAATGCAATACGTCTTTTGCTTTCTTGACTGCTGCTTCTATGAGTTTTGATAATGGATCCAAGCAAAATGAAGTATTTGATGAACTTGACATACACCCATGGAAGCAGTAGCTCAAAGGAGGGAACAAATCTTCACAGCGAGGATCATTCCCAACCCCTCAGCACATAGAGAGGACAGGGATGGACAACTTGGGCACTGACTACCCAGAATGGGGGAGCTACAGAGGCAATAAGTGACTGGCTTACAAGCTTTCAAGAGGGAGCCTAGATTCAGAAGGCGTGGAGCAAGGTAGAATCTCCATTGAGTAGTATCCACTCTGTCTATCAGGGCTGATGAACGGAGAAGATGCGGATAGGTCTCGTATGATACCGTAGCGAATAATTATAAGGACTGATTGTGAGGGCTGGATATGTAAAGGTAGACATTTTGTGGCTAAAGGAGGGGAGTGATTAACTTTGCAGTTTAGGAGCGGAGGTCCCTGGGATTATCAAGGGAGAAGAGCAGAGAACAGAACCCTACCCAGAGAAGCAGTGATGCCAGGGATGGAGGCAGAGATGATGACATGGGGAGATGGAGCAGCTGGATACTTTGGACCCGGAGAGGAAAAGGGGTTGAGTGCGGACGACCGGGGGGAAGGCTTGCGGGGTATACCCTTTGGTTGGTGGGTGATGCATGGAGGGGATTGTAACCATGGCAAGGAAATGATATACGACGGGATCAATGTGAAGCTGATGTCCTCCCATGTAAACTATCACATTATTCACAATAAAGCATTAAAAAAAAAATGAGGTATTTGATAACTTCAGTCTTTTCTCCATTCACCATGATGTTATTTATTGGTCCAGTTGTAAGGATTTTTGTTTTCTTTATATTGAGGTACAATCCACATTGAAGGCTGTTGTCTTTGGTCTTCATCAATACGCATTTTAAGTTCTTTGTTTTCAGCAAGCACATCATAAATTGTTAATCAGTCTTCCTCCAATCCTGATGTCACAATCTTCTTCATATAATAATCCAGCTTCTGGGATTATCTGCTCAGCATACAGATGAACTGTTGTTGTTAAACTGTTATATGCCATTGAGTTGGTTCAGATTCAGAGAGACTCTGTATAGGATTTCCGAGGAGTGCATATTGAGTTTGAAACTTTGACCTTGTGGTTAGCAGTCCAGTTCTTATTGTAAAGTGCCACCAGGATTCCATACAGATTGAATAAGTGTGGTGAAATAATACAACCTTTTTTATCACACACCTTTCCTGATTTTAAACCATTCAGTTCCCTTTTGTTCTGTTCCAGCAACTGCCTTTTGGTTTATGTTCAGGTCTCTCTTGACAACAATTAAGTGTGCTGTAATACCCAATCTCTGCAATATTATCCATAGCTTGTCATGATCCACAAAGTAGAAAGCCTTTGCATAGTCAATAAAATCAAGTAAATTTATTTCTGATAGTCTCTATTTTCAGCCAAGATCCATCTAGCATCAGCAATGATATCCCTAGTTCTAAAACCTCTTTTGAATCCGTCTTGGCAGTTTACTGCCGATGTATACATACTGTTACAGCCATTTTTGAATTTTGATTGTAGAAACTTGTTTTTTCTGATGGTGGGAAATGTAACACCAAATGAAAGTGAACTGTGCACAGCCTGATGGTGGTAAATGTAACTTGATGGCACTTGACAACAAATGACACATACAGCTGTGCAACAATCACTAAAAATTAGGAATGTGGTTATGTGTGTGTATATGCATGCTTACAAGCGTATAGGAATGTGTATGTGCGGACATACATAGATAACTGCAAGGTTGGGGGTTAAAACCTACCAGTCACTCCTCAGAAAGCCTATATGGAATGGGGTCACTATAAGTTGGAATTGACTCGATGGCACTTAACAACATGAGACAGGTATATACATTGTTGCTGAGTGTTGTTGAGGTATTTCCAACTCACAGCAACCTTATAAAGTTTCCAAGGAGTGGCTGGTGGGTTTGAACCACCAACCTTGCAGTTAGCAGTCCAGTGCTTATCCTACAGTGCCATACCAGGATTCCTACATATAGATACATACTTATCTGCATATGTTGTTGTTGCTGTTTGTCAGCTCCTGTTTAGGGTTTCCAAGGAGCAGCTGCTTAGTTTGAACCGCCGACTATGTAGCTCAAACTGACTTTGCAGTCCAGTGCTTCAGCCCACAGTGCCACACCAAGAAATATATATATTTGTTGTTATTAAGTGCTACTGAGTCGGCTACAACTTATAGGGTTTTTGAGGTTGTAAATCTTTGGAAGAGTAGAAAGCTTCATCTTTCTCCAGAGGAGCAGCTAATGGGCTTTAATCACCGACCATGTGGTAGACAATCCGGTACTTATCCTACAGAGCCACAGCACTCCCATATTATTATAGATTCATATATACAATTAAGCACATAGGGATACAAACATGGATACTTCTTAGACTTAACCAAACACCTCACAGTGTTAGTCAACAGGAATAAATAGAATATACTAGTTTGGTAAATAGTGTCTGGGGTCTTAAAAGCTTGTAAATGTTCATCTAAGATATAACTATTAGTCTCTATGCTTCTGGAGTAAAAGAGAAAGAAGGAAACCAAAACAGAGAAGAACTAGCCCACAGAACTAAAGGTCTGCACGAACCACAACCTTACCTACTCTGAAACCAGAAGCACTGTATGATGACCAGCTACCTTTACTGATTAAAAGAAAGGTACTCAAAATTGCTATATGGGAACCTAATTTGCTGTGTAAACTATCATT